TTCAGAATCAAACTATAACTTTATCGGCGAGTAGGGAGTAATGTGCCAAAGATTAATCGAGCCAAATAAATACTGTTAAATTTAGATAAACTTGGAGAGAGCAGGTAAATGACGTCTGCCTCTGGTGAATTCTAAGTGCCAAGTCCCATACGTCTGTCTCTGATGAATTCTGAACGCCAAGTGCCTCTGCTTCTATTCTGCGGGAGCATCACTTCATCCACTGTACAGGATCTGAAGACGGCCTTTCTCCCCAGACAAGAATAGTCTTCTAATGGCTGAATTTAACTGCCAATTCATCATACCATCAGTACAAGACAATCACATTACTAACTTTGAGAATGTAGAGATCCAGAGATATTGAACCCAACCCTACATGTGAAAGCACTTATGTCTTAGTTTAGGGTCTAACTACACCCTTTCGAAGACACTTTTATAACAGCTACCCTTTTAGCAAAACAACATTTACATCTTGGGCAGACAACAAACATGTCCTTTTCATAATTGCCTTGACCCTTTTGCGGTCACCCAAGCTACAGGTAACAAACAATGTAGTTGTTCCTGTCCAAATGCGAAATGCATGTCAACTTCTTAATGGATGGGTCTCCCTAATAAATCAGTCACTCTATTGAAATGGCTGAAAAGGAACATGCGTCCATTAAAGAGTATTAAAAGGTTTGGATGGTTACACTTCTTATAGGTAGGAGAACATTCTCCTGGATGGGAATTTAAAGTTTACTTGCAGCTACAGCAGCTAATTTAATGTCACCTGATATATGCCTGAGACCAGTTAATTCAAATGTCTTTTACTGCATAATAATTCATCTATATATCATCCTAACATGAGGTGGGCAGGGCATGTAGCACGAATGGGGAAGACGAGGAATGCATATAGGATATTGGTGGGAAAGCCAGAATGAAAGAGACCACTGGGAAAAATTAAAATTAAAGATAAGGATTAATACTATTGAACTTTAACTATACAGAGGTTACTTCTATAACCGCACACGANGGCATGTAGCACGAATGGGGAAGACGAGGAATGCATATAGGATATTGGTGGGAAAGCCAGAATGAAAGAGACCACTGGGAAGACCAAGGTGTAGGTGGGTGGATGGTAACGTATGCTTTGGCAGATAGTTACTGCAAATATGAAATACAGAACTCTTGAAGGTGGTGTCTGCTATCATAGTCGCCTAACAGCTATAAGCAGAATATGAGAGAACAAAGACAAGAGGTGCAAGCTGCAGACAACAGTGAGGTATTCGTTATCCAGATGGAGTTGAACACATGAACTGTTATAATTGGGTGTAACTGTGATACAGATGCCGACTAAATCCATTCATCAGATTCATGATCCACAATTATTAGTCATACACACCCCCTACATGTGCCAATACTCATTGTAGGCTTCATGTCAAAGTATTTGTCTCAGAGTCTTGAGTGAATTAGCAGTGGAACTGCAGTTCAACATGTCAGTTGCAATTGAAGAATAGTCACAGGATGAGATAATGACTATATAATACAGTTTCAGTTGGGGAAGGATATTCAGTATTAGGTGCTGGCTGTTTGTGGTGTAACGCCATGAATACCAGTGGACTTTGATTTTTGTAGCATGGTGGAATGTCTTTCAGTAATGAGCCATGCATTGACCATCCTACTACATCATAAATTATAACAAATATTTTTGTGAAATGGGTAGTCAGAGTAATATATTATTCTTGGGAATATATATGTCCCTGTGCATAATCACCATGCCCAAAATAGGTATAGGTGGGCTGGAGTTAAACCTTAACACATTCTAGTCCTTGACACTGGAAGGTGAATGGACAGCTTAAGAGGAAGAGCCATCAATATCCGTTGGACAGGAGGCTGATCTGAACATAGAGGTGAAGGAAAAAAAAATCTGTATAACTCCTGAGGTTTAAATGTCAATCTTCCAGTCCATAAGCCACTCTTGTTTCTAACTGAAAAATATCAATCCAACATCCATAGGAACTGTAAGAAATTCAGCATTTCAGTAGAGAAGTGGGAGGGCATCCGTATCTCATACCGTCCTGCAAACAGATCAGACTTCACAGTAAATACATTCATCCCCATTGAAAAAAAAAATCAGTATAATAAAACTGCAGTAATATAATTGAATATTTTTTAACTGATCTTTTATATTCTTGCTCCTCCTTTTCTTATTGGATATGACAACTTAATGCTAGATTGGCTTCAGAATCTGCTTTCCTGTTTCACCTTGCACTTCCTCTAACTCTTCGCCCTGCAAATTTGTAGCCTCAGTCTGTTTCCTTCCTGCTGGCTGTTCGGCTTACTGTCTGATCCTGAAGATGGACGATGTAAACTGAAGATGGATTCCTCCAAAGAATGCTGGTAAACTTCTACCAGATATGGCATCACATTCTAGAGGGCAGTTATAGTCACAATCATAGACACAGACATATGAGAACCTCAATCAACAGAGGCATAATTAACTCTTCACAAATCTTGTTACATTAATCCAAACATTATGCATTACAGTACTGAAGTATAAACTTACTTCACAAAAATTGAGTATTTATATACAAATGCAGTTCTAAGTTGTAAGTGATGAGATATATTTAAACAAATTGTATTATATGTTCCAGGTTCTTCCAAGATTTATGGCATTCCAAAACCAGAAAAAACCAAAGAATCCATTTCAGGAAATTCCACGGTATGATATGAAATGCTATGCTATGCAACACAGTTCCTATGCTCATGGACTCTGGAATGAACCCCAAGGCTGTGCTTAGTATCTTCAGCTGAATGACTGTGCAGTACATGGAAATAGGTCATTTCTGCTTTCTTTCACATCTTGTTTAATTCATTTTTCATAATTTCTTCCTTGAAAAGGTGGTTGAGAAATTTCCTGCTTTCATGAAACCCAAAGATTCATCTCCATCCTCACAAAAGTCTGCTATCATATCTTTATCCTGAATCAGTTCAGTTCAGTCTACACCTTCATAAACAACAAAAATCCATTTCAGAATCTTCACATCTATGCCTACATAACTGATGATGTTGGCTCAGGCAGTAATGCTTGCTTGCAACATATATTAGGGAGGTGGCTGGTTCAGATTGTAGTCAGGATAGTGTCTATTGTGACAGTATTCTTTTGTAGTTCTCCACAGCCCCTCCAGAGAAATGCCAGTATAGTACCTCAAATTAAGGTTTGACAGCTTTCTTCTGCATCTTTCCAACTTATTAACCATCCTATCATTCAAGACTATAGTTTGAGCTACTGACATCATGTTAAATAAACAATAAATAAATTTAGGCAGATCTCTCCCAAAACCTGTGGAATTTTCCTTCCTCCCATGGATGCCACACCTTATGCCTATTGCACGATTTCAAGGCTGATCTGTCCCTTTGCCTTCCAGGATTTCTGTTCCCTCTTATATAATAAATCTGTCCACAAAAGTATGGAACATGAAACATTTTTAGAAATGGTTTGAAGTTGAGTTTACTGTTTAATATTGCATGTTTCTTCTACTGAAAGGCTAAATGCATTTTATCACTACTTGGTGATGACCGAATTGGAAACTGCAGAGCAGCGTAAAAGAGTGTCCAGTCTTGTACAACCCTTCTTTGCTAAACACTAAACTGAAATTACTATACTGACTACACTATACCTTTACTATACCTATACATTTATCTTCCTGTGTCATATTACGTATCAAAGAATATCTGCAATTTGAAGTTGTATGCATACTTGAACACTTGTAGTGTACATGTAAAGAACCTTGATTCATCTGGCACAGTAATGAACCTTCAGGCACCACAAAAGTCTGGGAATTTCTTGATTATCTGAAAAGTACTGTACACCATGTAGTGTGAGATGTGTCAAGAGCCCTGAGGGTAGCTTGCTTGGAGGTCTTCCTTTTTTCCTATGAGTCAGCTAGTCATTCATGACAGAAACATGTAGCACATGAACATCAAATGTATATATAATTTAGTGACATTTTTAAACATGTTAACAAACATTTTAGTGAATTAAATATGGATTAGTGTCATGAAAATTTATATTGATATTGTTGCATTATAGATGGTAGAAGAGTAAGTGAAACTATGACAGAATAATACAATTCACAAAGCAGCTATGCTGTTGACATAACATTTTCCAATTACATTTAGTTACAGAAAATTCAGACATCTTTGGGAATGGGAAACTGACCTGCTGTTCCTTCAGAATCCTGGAGAAACAAATTATGTATGAAAATTAAGATTGGTTAGGTATATGGAACAAATAATAATTAGTTAACATGCTACAGAGATGATCAGGAATATTCCTTGCACTTACATAGTAGTTCAGCAGAAATCGTTCGTAATATTTATAATCAAGTACCATGTTAAACCAATAAATTTAATTTGCATGAAATGTCTGTTTATCCATTCCCCGTTTCAGTTTCAGACATATTGCAGATATAGCACACCAGTGAAGACCACCTCATCTGCCACGATCAATGTAACTATGCAAGTTTGTGAGACAGAAACAAAATTAGCACACTAAGCATAGCCTCCTGGAGCTTTGTGTAGTGACAGTTTGAAAAATGTGCCTTTTATGGGATTAATTTCTGTGGGAAAATAACAGAGTTCCATGTAGAACTCGTAAGTATACTGTCTTGTTATGCAGTGGTTGGATAAAAAGTAGTAGCAACACTGCTATAACATGAAAGATGTGCGTCAGGTGGCACTAGTGCCGTCTGTAGCTGATAGCAGAAGTTCAGTTGAAGTAGTGCAGTGAGTGGCTCTGGTTGTGTTTCATTGAGTTGCATTGTGCATCATCTTCAAGTGTAGGAGCCCAGTTCAAGCACCCTAACAACATGTTTATGAAACAAGAACAACGCTCCTGGATAAAAATTGAAGTTACATGAGGTCGTAGTGCACAAAACTGTTATCAGGGACTGCGAGAAGCATGTGGTGATGCTGCTTTGCCATATCTCACAGTGGCATTGTGGGTGCAATTGTTCCATGAAGGGAGGGATGCCATTCAGGACAGCCGTCGTTCAGGATGACCCCATGTTGACAACTACACAATTCAGTTTCTCGCTTCTTTTCTGGATGTCGATTGTCGATGGGCTGCGCGGGAGTTAGCTGCTGAGGTTGGCGTATGTCACAAAACCGTGCTCCACGTTCTGCATGATATTCTTGGATACTGCAAAATTGCAGTGCATTGGATACCCCATACAATGTCCGAGGTGCAACAATGGCAACATTATGCAATTGCGCAGGACTTGTTGGACCAGTACCAGAGGGAAGGTGATGATTTCCTTGGAAGGATCATCACTCTGGACTAAGCTTGGGCTCGCTCATACGAACTGCACTTGAAGCGACAATCAAATACATGGAAGCATCCTGGCTCTCCTCGTCCAAAGAAAGTGCTCCCTACACGGAGTAATGTGAAGGCAATGTTCATTGTGGCATATGACGTAGATGGAGTGATACTGCACCACACTGTACCTCAACGACAGACAAGAAACGCTGCCTACTACTGCAATTTCCTGCATAATCATCTTCGTCCAGCACTCAGGAGAAAGCGATGACACTCATTGGCAACGACCCCTGTCAGCCTTCATGACAATGCAATGGCTCATATTGCTGACACTGTCAAGGATCTACTTCACTGCTGGCGATGGGAGATACTGCAACATCCACCATACTCACCTGATATAAGTCCTTGCAATTATGATATCTTTGCCAAAATGAAAGAACCACTGCAAGGGACACGTTACAACACAAGAGAGCAGATTATTCGTGCTGTAGGGCGGTCACTGCTGGACATCAACAGAAGTAGACACACTGATAGTGTACGATGCCTTCCACAGGGTGATACACATGGGGGCGATTATATTGAAGGAATGTATGTGTGTTTACCTCCGGTAATGTAGTCATTTCAGAACTATAGAGGTGTTGCCACTACTTTTTATCTGACCTATGTATATGTTCCTGATCTTGCAGATCTATTACTGTTACTGTTATTTTATACTTTTGAAGAACTTATTAAGTACAGATTCTGTCTACTTTAAATTTGTCACATATAACTTCTGCTTGTTGCTGCTTCGTGCTTGATTCTTGCTTTGGCTTACTCTTCAGCCCTCAAGATGGAAACGATATGTCCCTCCAAAATATTGATCGACTCTCTCTGGACTACACAGTATTATATACCAGAAAACAGAACTCCTTGTAAGCTGAAAGTTTTAACACCATTGCCATATTTATAAATCTCTTACAAAAAGTGTTTCATACATGTAATGTGTAGGTATATTTATGACCTATCTCCATACTCAATTCACATGCCTACCACTTCTACTTGTTCATGAGTCATCACCTTGAAACCAAAAATTAAAGTATTTTTACATAGCCACCATGTTTTATTTTTCGCCAAATAAAAAAAATACCTTAACAAAACTTACAGAGATATTGGGTTTTCGGACCTTATCCATCGTCCTGGTTTTTAAGATAACCTATAAAAACACGACGTTTCGGAAACTGGATCTGTTTCCGTCCTCAGGTGAGGGAAAACACCTATTCTGTTGGGTCCCTTAGAATCCAGTGATTGAGGACGGAAACAGATCCAGTTTCCGAAATGTCGTGTTTTTATTAGTTATCTTAAAAACCAGGACGATGGATAAAGTCCAAAAATCCAATATCTCTGTGTGTTATACACCATCATCAGAATCCTATAGTAGCTACTTAACAAAACTTGCATAACTCTACTAAAATCTCTGCCATACATCGTTTTAGGTCTTTAAATTATAAGGTTATTAATTAAATTATATTGTTAGGGTCTCTTCACCTCACAGGTTTGCATGTCTGCTGTGAGACAATGAGATGGTCTCTAATGGCATAACATTTATACCAAGTTTTATGAACACTGGTCAGGTGTTCAGAATTTTAATGGGACAGTGCACTGGTGTGCGCACACACACCCACACACACATTCATTCTCTTCCTCTCTGACACCATGACAATATTGTAAGCTGTCTTCTTTCCTTAAGGAAGGAAAGCAGGCTAAAAATGAGAACAAGGTGACTGTACAAAATACTTTCAGTTGATGACTCCATGTAATTTGGTATGTGATATTTGTATGGTGACATGTTATAAACAGATCTTCAAATTTCATATGAAATTTCTGTGTCATGGTTCACATGTTGTGGTGATTTTAAAACTGAAATCCTAAGATAGTTCAAGTTCATGTTCAGATATTGCACACAATCTTATCTCCTGAATGGAGTTGCTTTGAAGAAAAAGTTTCAGATCAAGAATTTTAATTTTAGTTATAAAATTTCAGGCAAATTTAATATATTTTTGATCCTATAAAGCCTCAACCTTCAGAATCATATATCATGTGATTAGTTTAAATTCTGGCATGCAAGCTGAAAAGGTTTGCAGTTTTTATTACATGGAGATTTATTTCTCATCTTGCTTTCAGTGAAAATGTTGTTACATTGGACATGTTTGTAATTAATTTTTTCCCATCATTTCAGCTGTTTATATGCATTAGCAGATGGTGAGAATGATTTCATTGTATTGGAAGATTTATCCCCTGCAGAATATGTGACAGCTGACAGAACAAAAGGTCTGGACTTTGATCACTGCGTTGCTGTTTTGCAGACTTTGGGCAGATTCCATGCTCTTTCTTTTGCCATGAAAGATCAGGATCCAGAAGGATTTGAAACTATTGCCAACTGTGTTAAGGTTTGTGATCTCAAGAGGTTAAAAAACCAGGAATATGTTTTAAGAGTTAACAAATTTCTTGCATTACATTTTGTTGTTTTCTGATATGACTTCAGTTCTATTTAATTCAGTCACCTTGAAGGATTGTTATTGTCACTGGTCTCCAAAACAAATTGCTCTTATTTCAAACACAATTAGAAATATTATTATTGTTATCAGTTTAGTCCATTTTATTTTACAGCATTTATTAATGTTCTGAGGTTGTGTGGTTTTTCATTCACACTGTCACATTTCACTAATTACCACTTTTAGTATAACATGTTTCAATCAACACTATGACCATCATCAGGTACTTTCTTGATATTGCCCATGAGCTGGTACACTGGTATTATTTATATCCCACTGCCTTTCATTGAGGTTAAAAAAAGTAATTAAAATTAAAGCTGAAAGGTTAATCACTGATTAGTACACATCATTGTTACTTGGATCCAGATAGCAAAAACCTCTGTAATAAAAGAAATAAAATAATATCAATTATAGTTAATCATATCAGAACAGAATGCTAAAATATAAAAATTATGAAGACACTACCAGAATAGCTTTGTACAGTGGACTTTGGCTGAAATTAAAACTTAATTTATAAAGTAAATTTTCACTAAAATGAAGCTTGGTAAGTGTATAACTACTTTTACAAGTGTAAACAAGATTGGAAAAGGTGTATTGTATAATGTAGTATACAAAATAACCAGTGGCATTATTTAATTTTAACAGAATCTGCTGAGAAAAGTTTATGGGATACATGGAAAATTCCATTTATGGCCATATGCATGATGAGTGGTGGGAGTACTTACAGGACACTGTCACCTTAAAGGACACCTCTTCAAACTGGGACTAAGTGATAGTCCCACTTGTGAGAGGTGTCAAGAAGAAAACGAAACAGCCACACATATCCTGTGTGAATGTGAGGCCTTAGCTTATTTAAGATTATGTCACTTGGGTCAGTACTTTATGGAACGAAGTGACTATTTCGATGCCCCCACATACAAAATCCTGCACTTCATTCAAAGTGCAGGATTGTTGAGGGGATAATCAAAAGGGGAAGCACAATAGATCACTGTAGGTTGCGGTGTAAGGGCTGTGAAGGCCCACCCCTTATTCATTCATTCATTCATTCAATCATATGATGCAAACCAAGTTTTATTATGGATCATTAGACTTATTAACTGACAAGTCCTGGTGAAGTATCCCATACCGAGTTTCAGCAAAATCTGTTAACAGTTTATGGGATACATGAAAAAGTCCATTTGTGGCCATATGTAAAAAAATATAATTAGGCTTTATTATGGATCAGTGTGATGAAATATCGGAATTTTTCAACAATGTTCAGTGAAAGCTTCTCATGTCGGATTCTGAGAAAGTCTGTGCAGTGGTTTATGCAGAGATACATCTCAGGCAGGCAGACAAATGTGTCCTCCATATCAAAAGCTGAGACTGTAAATCTGTTACATATTTATAACAACCAATGTTTGTTTCTTTTTCAGGAAACCTATTTCTACTTTGAAAACAAAGGATGGTATGAAGGTCAGCTTAAAAACTTATGTCAAGTTGCAATAGATGCTGTCTCTAAGGAATATCCAAATAGCATCTATGAAGAGAAACTGAAACACTTCATAAATGATTCTCTGTTTGAATGCTTAGTGGAATTTTCCCAACCAAAAGAACCATATGCAGTCATTGGTCATGGAGACACATGGATTCCAAATTTCTTATTCCATTACGACAATCACAAAGGAGACAGTAGTACTAGTCCTGACAGAACACGAATCATAGACTTTCAACTGGCTCGATACGGTTCACCAATCCTAGATTTCTCTCTCTTCCTCTTTTCTTGTACCACACAAGAACTTCGCACTTCTCATTTCAAACAGCTTCTCCAAGTTTACCATCATAGTCTGTCTGACTTTCTTCAAGATTTGGGCTCTTCCCCAGATGTTCTTTTCTCATACAATGCCTTTGAAAAGGAAGTTTCACTATACATGTTATTTGGACTTTGTCTTTCGTTTGATACAGTTACATTTTCTGTAATGGACGAGGAAGACACTCCAAATTTGGACCTGATTGAAGGAGATGAAGCTATTCCATTAGAAAATATCATGCATGTTGGTCCAATTAAAACTAAGCATGGAAGACTGCGCCTTGCTGACAATGTAAAATTTGCTATAGACAGTAAATATCTTTAGCATAAGCCAAAACAATCCACGCAGACACAGTCCATTATGTGCTATCTCCTACTATATATATACATTTACATTTATAAAATAAATCAATATACAATTCTTTATTAAGTCTGTCACAACACAACAATATAAGTACAAGGCTAAATTAGCTTTGCTACATGTTTCAGGTATTCATATCCATCATAAGGCAAATACACCATCATGTTTACACACTAGTGAACTGCAATTTCGTAGTAAGTCTGGATACGTGACAATTAGTGTGTAAACATGATGATCATGTATTTGCCTCATGATGGCTATGAATAGCTGAAACATGTAGCAAAACTAATTTAGCCTTGTACCTATATTGTTGTGTTGTGACGGACTTAATAAAGAATTGTATTGAATTGAATTGAATTCCATAAACCATAAGCAGGTTAATACCTTTGGATATAGAACAAGTCAAAATAATACCTACTGGTACAAGTAATTGATCTTAAACTAATATAGCTTAATTCTACATTATTCTCTATTTACATTGAGGTATTCGTCTACAGAGTAGAAGGAATGAGCATGATGATAATTCTTTAGCTCTGATTTAAAATGTTTAGTATCATTACTCAAGTTTTTGATACTTTGTGGGAGACTATTGTACACTTTTATGCCAGAAAAGTAGACTCCTTTTTGATATAGTGATAAGTTTGATGAAGGTAGATGGAAGTTATATTTTTGTCTAGTATTCATGTTATAGATATTGGAATTTAATTGAAATTTATTTTTGTTGTACACAACAAATAAGAGAATTGATAGTATGTATTGTGATTGAAGAGGTAGAATTTTTAATTTCTTAAATAAATCTCTACTTCTACGTCCTGTAATGATTCTAATTATATTCTTTTGTATCTTGAAAATTTTTACACTATATGCAGAGTTCCCCCAGAATATTAATCTATAGCTCATAATAACAATATAATAATATAACAACACAACAGGATGCATGAAATGAAAATTATAAATCAATATATTAAATCTTTCAGCATAAACCTCAGCAGGTACATGGATTATGCATACTGACTGTCAGCCCTAAATAGTACTTGTTTGCAATGGAAAGGGAAACTGTACCATTTAAATATGAGTACCTACTCTATTTCAAAATATAAATTTAAGCAAGATATGCAAGAATTAGGAAGAAAGTGTCAGCACTGTTAAAGGTTAGTTATCTATGGTATTAATGCTTTTTTTGTTATAAATTAATTTTGCCAGTAGAAAAATGGAATGGCAGTGTTACATATGCTGTTTTTGGTTATGCCCACATGGATAATGCCAGATTCCTCCTACACCAAGTTAAAAGTAATGGTATTGTGGGACTAAGTGTTATACAACAGGTGTTCCTGTCAATACAAGGACAAGCAGTTATGTGCGTCGCGTCTTTTCTTTCGCCATACTGTGTAAAGATAAAGTTGTTCCAGTGCTTAATTAGTTAAGCACTGTGCCATGAAGACATATGGAGTAGTGGAGGTGGGCCCTGGTTTGGACATTGTGGGGAAGAGAAAAATCTTGCACTGCTGGGAATTGAACTTGGGCTGTCAAGCCTGGGGCCCATCACTATACTGACTGAGCTATCCTGACTCCTCCTATACTCTATAACAAATCAGTATAGACAACACTCTACCACTACACAGTACAAATATAGCACTTCCTTGATAAGATGTACAAAATAAGCCTTTTTTTTTTTACTAAAACAGGTTGATCACAAAAATGACAGCAAGAAATTGTTAATAATTACAACTAAAATGTTCACAATAAATACAAGGATAAGCTACCCAAATGTAGGCTCCAAACTTAGCTTTCAGATTTCACATTGATGTTGGTACAGTTACTCAGCTACTGCAAAAAAATAAATTCTCAAGTTTATCTTTAAGCATGAACAGAAACATTACCTAAATTCAAAACTTCAGTTTTGAACATAGAAGCCATCATGCCATGGATTAATATTTACACACTGTTTTACGTCTCACAACATATTAACTTACATATTTTCTGATTCAGGAAATTTTTGTTATACATGATGCAATTCTAGGATAAATTTCATAACGGGCTCCAAAGTAATTTCCGTGTCTATTCACAGGGCCCACCGTTACAAAAAAATTCTGCATATTCGTGAAACAAAAATAATGAACTTATAATCAAATAGAAATCATCTACGATTCAGTAAAAACTGACAAAATTCCATTGCAAACATTATTAGTGACTATGAAACTGAAATGGACAAAATGCATTTCTGCCTTTTTAGTTACAAACATTATTTCCTGTCTGTAATTTTGCCTGATGCCACAGGGAGTGATGGTAGATGACATTTGTTCTAAGAATGGTGATTTCCTTGCAATTTCTTTATACGTAGGTAGGCTGAAAAGTAATGCACACATGCTTGTAGAGTGAACGAAATGACCTTCAGAAGCGCGCCAGGTGGCATGTGGAAGTAACATTCCCCCTCAATACACATGCGCAGGTTTGAGGTCGTTACATTCATCCAGTGTATTTCGAGAAGCGGAAGTATGGAGACATGTTCTAGTGCTATGTCAGCGCGAGTTAAACAGCATGCTGTTATCAAATTTTTAACTGCTGAAAAAGTGACTCCTACTGAGATTCATCATCGTTTAAAGGCTGTTTATGGTGACGATGCTGTTGATAGGTCTACTGTAAATCGATGGGTAATAAAATTTCGTGGTTGCGAGCCTGGAAAAGCCATAATTGTTGATGAAACACGCAGCGGACGTCCGATCACTGCCACAGACGATAATCATCGCAAACTCGTCGACCATTTGATTCAAAATGACCGGTGAATCACTCAAAAGTGTATCACAAACCATATTGGAATATCCAAGGAATGTGTCGGCTTCATTATTGAATTGGGATACCTTAAAATCTGTGCACGATGGGTACCACGCCGTCTCACAGATGAGAACAAACAGCGTCGATTGGAATGTTGCGATCAAGTTTTGCAGCACTACCGTGATGAAGGAGATGACTTTCTTTTGAATATTGTGATGGGGGACGAGTCATGGGTCCATCGTTACGACCCAGAAGAGAAAAGACAGAGCACTGAATATCGACATCCGTCTTCTCCTCAGGTGAAAAAGTTCAAAACACAACCATCCTCCAAAAAACTTTGGCTGTGTTTTGGGATGCTCACCGAGTTTATCTGAACGATTTTCTGGAACAAGGGGCAACAGTAAATCCTTCTCAGTACATACAGAGTCTAAAACACCTCCGTCGTCGAGTTTGTCGTGTTAGAGGCAGCCTGGCGCCAATAATCTTGCAACATGACAACGCTCCTCCACACACCCCGCGCTCAACTGAAGAGGCTCTGCGAAACCGGAAGTTTGAACAGATTCCACACCCTCCTTATTCCCCCGATCTTGCGCCTTGCGATTTTTATTTTTTTCCTCTACTCAAGAGACCTCAAGGGTAATCATTACACCTCGGACGATGAGGTGAAGGCAGCTGTCAAGTCCTGGATTTGAAAAAAGTCAGAAGAATTTTTCAGTGACGGAATGAAAAAACTTGTTACACGTTGGGAGAAATGTGTTAGCCTTAATGGTGACTATGTTGGAAAAATAAATATATGCTTTTGAAACTTAAGAATTGTACTTTAATGTACTTTTTGCCTGAGCTTGTTATTTGTTTTTGTTCGCGCTCTACAAGCATGTGTGCATTACTTTTCAGCCTACCCACGTAAATATTGGCCTTACTTCTCACTAGTGTTTTCGATTACGTGTACATCTGATACATTTGTATTAAGTCATATTCCTGTTAGAATCATAGAGCGTTTTTCCATGTTCTCTTTTGAACACTATTAAAAACGCTGAAGTTGTACGAGTAACATGAAGATGAGCCAGGTAGTGAAAGTACAGCTGCACACATTTTTGTCCTTGTTACTGAAATGGTCAGCTTCATGGCTAGGCTGTTAACAGTAAGATAAATGTAAATGGTAGCATCAGATATTCAATTACGAATTCATCTGAGGCCCCTTAAAGGAGCCATTTTTTTTTTTTTTTTGTTTTTTAGTGTGATGCTTTTATGTGCTGTCCAAAAATACTGTGCTGAAAATATCAATTGCTTGCTCTTTTATTTTATGTTATAATTTTGCTGATCTTGGGTTATGTTTTAGAATCTATGCATTAAAATTTAAGGTTTAAATCTGTGATGTGTAATGATTCCCAGACTATGTTCATTTCAATCTTTGGCTTCTGTGGATACATTTCTAGAACAGCATTTAAGTTAAAACTTTTCTTAACAATGATTGATTGAATGAAGTTCCAGTATCTTACTGCATACTCCAACCAAGTTCAGTCATGAAATTAAGAATTTTTAGACAGGCTTTCACTGAGAGCAAAACATAGCTGTTCACATAGGATAAAACTGGTTTCACCAGAGCTCTTAGAATAACAAATTTAAGTTCCAATTTACTACACATTCCCAATTGCAGTTTTCCTTACATAGGTCATTTTATGACATATTTCAGCATTCACACTGTAAGTTTACCTCTCATTTCCCTCCAGAGGAACCTTAAATGGGGATTTCATCACTTACTTCCACTGGTCATATTTTTCAAATGTGCGGTCTAGAAAACCAAAATTAACGGCCGTGGGGATTTGTTGTGCTGACCACGTGACACCCTCTATCCACTAAAGTTGACACTAAACTTCGCTGACAAGCGGCGGTCAGTAGGTATAGTTCGCTTGTGGATGAAAAATGTAAAATTATTTCATCACACTATAAATTCATAGTAAAAGAAAAACAGTAAGAACACTCACCAGAAAATGATCTGAATTCCACTGCCAAACATATGCTTTTCACTGAATTCCTCTATGAAAAATTCCTTCAGGCTCATGTGTGATCGATACTCTTCCCTTTTGAATCAAAATAAAACTAAAAAAACAGGGTAGGTATTAATGAACCATATGAATTCTTAAACAAAATTCATGAGCAATATGGAGATGTCTAATCACTACAGCAATCAATACAACATTTAGTGTGGAAACTTGTTTGGTTACATAAATATACAAAAGATAAACTTTATTCAAACATCACTTTTTTTACACCTACGAAAAGGAAAGTGGCAATGGAACTTCTGATAAATTCATAATCACTTAACAAGTCTCTTTAAGTACTACATTTCAGACTGCAAACTCACAACTTTTAATCAATATTACACTTGATATTGTTCACATAAGAAATCTGAGTTCTGTATTCCCTGTAAGTGGGGTGGAAGATGTAGTTCATATTCTGTTCCTTTATAGACTTATCTGAAGATCAGTGTGAAAAGATTATACAAAACAATCCATTTAACATAGCATGTCTTCCAGGATATCAGTCATCCTGAAATAATGTTCTCAATGCTGTTTATGTACAACGAATTCTCATGTGAACCACTAGAACATTTATTTACAAGCACTTTTACATTTACACTTGAAAAAGACGTGGTGTTCAGCTAAACCAGTTGATAACCAGACTCTTTGTC